TCTACCATTATTCAAAAAACACATTTTCTATCTCCAAATAATACTCTTATTAGGACATAATACACACTTCCCTTTTGACTTTTCACGGTTTATTGAAACACATCAATCCTCTCTCAATGGCACATGATGATATAGAAACACATCAATCCTCTCTCACTGGCACATGATGATATAGAAACCAAGCCAAAGAACATAATTCTTATCAAATATCGTCGTGTCACTAGCATTTTAAACGCAGCCAGAATGTGGTTAGTTTCAAGCCTAAAACCTTTTGCTTGACTCCAAAAACTCAATTTAGAGATTTCATATATGAATATAGCAACCACAAGATCGCTGTATTGGGTCTCTTTTTGGAAAGCCGAGGGCCAACTGTAGGATCGATTTAGCCGACACTCGCATGGACAATCAGATGCCTCGAGCATGATCAAAGCTACTCAGCCTCGTTAAAGCATTTTTCGGTGGCCAGCACAGGTTTAAGTTGGCGATTTTATCTCTGTAAAATGTTCGCATGCAATTATTACTTAACACTGTTAAAAATGGTGAATTTACTCTTAAATCAGAAACTCTGCGCTGGTTTCAGGAAAATTTATGAATAGTTTTAATGATTTGGATCATTTTCATCACTTGAACCAGTTGGACCATTTGGAGGAATTTTAAAACTGAAAAATGATTCAAATTGGTTCGAAACCAGTTCAATTTGCCTATAAGGATTAACACGAATCGGAAATACTTACGTCAAAGAGCCTTTAAGGTTTGAAGTGAAGACTTTTGAGTATGTTTTAATCAATTGAGGTACTATTTTGTTAGATAACATTTTTTGGCATGTTTCAGTGATGTCTTCAACTAAAATTTTTTCTAATTGAAAGGGGTTTTCAGCGAATTTTTCAGCGAATTTTTTAGCGCATTGTTCAGGGATTTTTTTAGTCAATCCGTTAAAGCTTTCATTAATCAAATTTTTAATGAGTTTTTTAATCAAGTTTTGAGGGAATTGTTCACTGAACTTTTTTTTGAAGTCTCTATTGAGTTGTTGAGTGCATGCTGAAATTAATTCTCGAGTGAATTCTTCAAGTTCTAATAAATATTGAGGGGTTCCATTTTGATTTTCAGTTTTTAATGAAGGGAGAATGAGAATGACAATGAAGGCTGTGAGAAATAAAAGTCTTCGAACGTTCATCGAAGTGGACAGATTGGTGAAAAATTTGCCTGCATTTTATACACTGTTTTGCACTGGAAATTTTGCATCCAGTCAGAATATAGTGTTAAATAATTACCCAAATGGACAATTAAAATATGGAAATTTAATTATCAAGTCTTATATTTCCAAGAGATACTCTGCAATATGTTATTGAGTCGGTATGATTTTTATCGGGGCTGACATCCCTTTGCTATCGATAGCAAGGCACTGCTCAAATATCGCCGTGTCACTAGCATTTTAAACGCACCCAGAAGGTGCCCAATTCTAACCCTAACACCTTTTGCCTGACTGCAATAACTTAATTTAGAGATCCCATAGATAGATATAGCGATCACAAGATCTCTGTATTGGGTCTCTGGATCTGATAAGGAATAGTTTCCGCCCAACACTAACCCTAACCCATATGCCTGCTCTGAGAGGGTATTAAGTCTAAATTGGCTCTCAATCGTGCTAGAAATCGTTCAAGGCGTCAATAATTGCCTCCCTAAACGCATTGAGCGGTTGAATTGTCTTAAATGCTGCTACAGAAATTGAGTTTGTGTGATATTTTTTTGATATTGAAGTGATTAGTTCGAGCTTGACACTATATTTCATGCATAAAGCGCCCCATAAATTATTGATGGGTGTTCATATGGACGCAAAACAGAAAGCAGAATCTTTCGAGTGGCTTCATTTATGCGTTAAAAGAAATTGAATATTAATAAAGCTAGAATCGCAAGATCCAATGCATTATGGGTCACCTTGGCGTGGCCCAAGTTTTTCAAGGGAATACAAATTTTAGAGACCTTAAAGAACATTTCCGCCAAGGGATCTTCAAAATCTGCCCAATAAACTGCTTCAACAATGGAAGGGTTAAATGTTGGTGGTGCATATATTTTTAAACTCCAAAAAGCCTAATTAAAATATGCACAAGTTGCTATAAAATTTTCAAATTTAATCTCAACAGCATTACTTTTCAAAACAAGAATGCCATGGATGGTAAGGGTTCATCCTAGTTATAATCAGATTTATGCCTATTTTAAGACGAATACTGATACCGATAGTGAAACTGAGTGTTGAATCCAACCCCTTTAAGCAGCTTTTCAGCTTCAATCGAAATTATAAAAGATAATTGATCAATCAGTATAAATATAGTCAAAAGGATGATGCAATAAAGGAACGCATATTTCAGCTCCCAAAATAAATAAAATGGCGTGAAAATCGAAACAGTTTCTTTGCGGGGTCTCTTTCTAAAGCTTTGATAAAAGGAAAGAACTGTCGCTCCAAAAATGAGAGATACTGAGGCGATGGTGATCTTACACCAGTATTTCCTAAAATTTGTGCTCAAGAAATTAACTGCTTGGGGAAACACGGGAATAGCTATTTCCGTCGAATTATCCTGTATGAGCTCTGTAGATGCACCTGTTGATTCTTTGGACTTTGGCATAAGCAGGGTCGCAGGAGATACCGAAGAGCCTCTTTGAGGTGAATTCTCTAAAGCATCAGATGCCGTTGATATGGATGAGTCCCTGAAAATGCCAAAATACATAATAATGGTCCCAACAAAAACAAAAAGCACAAAGATCAATGTAGCCTTGATAAGAGGGAAAGGGAGCTGCATATTACTGATGTAAATATTCAACATGCTGCATGATGCACATATCTTTAATTCAGTTAATTGGTGCAAATCGCATTTTTCAATGAAACATTAAAAGAATTTAATTATTCAATTTATACGAATCATTATGAAACTGGAATGAAATTTAAGGCATATCATATTTTCAGCAAACGCATGGAAACGCCGTTAAAGGCTTTTGAGATTTTCTTGCAAGAGTTACAGTTGCTTGATTGGGTACATATTTCATCGATCGGTATCACTATTACAGCAAACAAAAATTAAATTTACTTATTTTGGGCATTTACAGCCGGTCTAGCAAGAGTCATGTGCTGGTCATTTTCGCTACCCCTTTTCAGCGATTTTTTAATCCAGTTTCGATACAATAATATGAAAGAAAAGCACCACGCAGAACAAATAAT